GGCTGACTGTCTGGCTTCTCTAATACTTTGTACCCATTTGTATGCAGCTTTCTCTGCGGTGTGCTACAGATGTACCAAAAGAATCCCAGTGGAAGAGACGGGGTGTCTCAGGGTTGCCTACTGTTCACATCTTACTGCCTCCGACAGGTGTTGTAAGAGACTCGTTATGTAGCAGATGTTCTACAGCCCAACTATTGTTCCACTAGCCATACCACCTCCCAGCCATGAGGGCTAACTAGCCCTTCTTCTTGGGCTGCATGCTCATTTTGCTGACATCACACCCCCACTTGTCTACATCTAGCCCCTCTAGTAAAATTCTGTCTTCCTAATTTGCCAGGCTTGCCTGTTGCTCAACAGAGATTTGGAAATTTAGAAATACCCCTTATTTTTCAAGTAAATCTGTTTGTCAAGCTCACTGTCTTGTGATTAACTCAGTAAGACAGCTTGTTCCGAGCACAGACAAAATCTCTTTTCATGGGTGCTATTTGTCATGATATAGCCTAAACAGAGGAAGGGCTCCCTGTGACATGATGTATTTGGGAGAATATAACTATGCAGTCTAGGGGCACCTGGGTGGCTCAGAGGGTTAAGCCTCTGTCTTTGGCTCAGGTCATACTCTCAGGGTCCTGGGATCGAGCCCCACATCAGGCTCTTTGCTCAGCAGAGAGCCTGCTTCCCCTTCTCTCTCTGCCTACTTGTGATCTCTCTCTCTCTGTGTCAAATAAATAAATAAAATCTTAACAACAACAACAACAAAAAACTATGCAGTCTACAAATTTCTAAAGCATTATCCTCATTGCACATTTTGATCTTTGAGTTAAGTCTGGCCAAGGGGTTTTCGCACTCTCCATGACACTTTCTGCTAAAGCAAATTCACAAAATAGAGAAGATATCTGATTTTATAGTTTTCTTCTGCTCTACCAGCAAGATGCTGGAGCAGACTGTCTAGACAGAAACGTTTCCAGATGTGTCCACTTGACCCTTTAGCCATAGCTTCTTGAATGAGCAGTCATTGTGTCCTGACTGTGCTGGGTGGCAGGTCTGGGACAACCGTGTTTGCTCACAAATACCAGAGTATATTCCTGTAAAGTTAACAAACACTAAGGGAATTCCAAAGTGGTCCAACAGTGCCTTGAAGCAGAATAGCCTATTTGTTTGGAAACATAACTGTTCCTTTCTAGGATTTAGGCTTATTTGTAGAATTATCATGATGATGACAAGGTTTCCTCGATAGACTCAACATCTAACACACTATCTGGCAGCCAGTCAGGGCTAAACGGGCATGAATTTATTTTGTTCATTGACAGCACCTTCATCTCTTTGAGCACCTTATTTCTCTTTGAGATAATCACCCCATTTCAACACATACAGTCTCCAAATAGGAATATATGTCACTAGGAAATTATGACAAACTAGACATCTGGGGCCGGGTAAGTGACATCTGCGAGGGTACATTGATAGCCAGAGACTCCCTTTCCTCTCTCCTCTGAGACCGAGACATTGTATAATAAGAAATACTTGAAGTGCTTAACACAGCCTGGTTCCATCAAGATGGTGGAGGAGTGGGGGGGACTCCGTCTCAACTGGTCCCCTGAATTTAGCTAGAAATCTACCAAGCCACTCTGAACACCCGTGAAATCAGCCCGAGATGTAAGATATACATGTCTGGATCTCTGGGGGGGCAGAGGATTCTCAGTGGAGAAGTACAAAAGACGGAGTTAGGATTGCAGGGACAGCTATCAGAGGACAAACAGAAGGGGGAGGGAGCCACGAGAGGCTAGTCATTGGAAAGTAATACCCCGGGGCAAATGTGCCCTGCACTTGGGGACCAGAGATTGCTTGGAGACTGGTAACTGCAAGATGGGAAGGGACAGATAACAGTCTGAAGGAACAATTGTTGGGACCCAGAGGCTGCAGGTGTGGACATAAGCCGACGGTCCACGGACCTGCCGCAACCGCCACCCACCCACACCAGGGAGGACCCAACATGGTCTTGAGTCAGCAATCTCTGGGGCTGGGGGCTGCCGGCTCCACCTCAGCCACTCCAGCCACAGCCACCATTGCCGTTGCCGCGGCTGAGAAGACCCAGCTTGGACTGGAGCCCACAGTCCCAGGAAGAGCAACCACCTGGGCTGGGCTCATCCAGACCGGTTTTGCCTGTGGTTTTGGTGGCATAAGGGTGCAGAGACAAGTGGAGACCTATGTCGACTGCTGAGAAGGCTGCCGGGGGTGCGCCCCTCCTGTGGGAGGCTGCAGGATTCAACAGGGCTTGCAGAGCGGGAGTGTGTGTTCGGGACCATTCAAAGGGGAGAATGCTGTGGCTTCTTTCTGAGGCAGAGGTCAGGTGCAGTTCGCTTTGCTCTGACCCTCTGAGAAGGTACAAAAAGGCACCAGAGAACAAAAGCCTCCAGAGAACAAAAGCCCAGAAAACCTGTTTTCAAGGAGCCCTGCCCCTTGACAGGGGCAGGACAACTGGGCCCCAAGAGAACTGACTGAAAAACAATGTGGCAGGCCCTGCCCCCAGAAGACAAGTTGAAAGAACAAGAGGACAATAACCACAGGAACCCCATAAAACTGTAAAACCTGTACACCAGGGGAAAGCAGTATATTAAGCTCCTGGTATTGCCTCACAGCCTGTATATTTCTTAGATACAACCTCTCTCTCTCTCTCTCTCTCTCTCTTTTAAATTCTTTCTCATGATTCTTGTTTTTTTTTAACCTACTTATCAGTTCATCTAGATGTTTAATACAACATCATTTTTAACTTTTTAACTTGAACTTTTTCATACGCATCGTTTTTTCTTTCTTTTATGTAGATATAGTTATAGATATATAGATATTGATATAAGCTTCAATGTAGTCCTTGTTTTCCCTATTCGGTATATATATATGTACACACACACACACATATTTGTATATGTATATATATAAACCAGTTTTAATTTTCCTGTATCTCTGGGAAGTTGTATTCTCTAACAAAGATACCAAAATACACCCAGGAAGAATGGAAATACCCTTCCTTGTCTACATCAAGGGATTATAACCACGTTCCCATCACTCCCCCCTTTTTTATTTTTTTAAGCTTTTTCCCCGATCTTTTGCTTTCTTTTAGTTTTTGCACTTTATAAATCTTTCTCTTGGAGCTCATTTTGGCTGTTGTTGTTGTTGTTGTTTTTCCCCTTTAATGCGGTGACTTACGACTGCTCCCAACCTTCCCAGGGTGCAACTTGCCTGGATAATGATTGATATTTTTGGCTGTACATCCCTCAACCACAATTGAGCTGAATGACAAGGAGGAGGAATTCCCAACAAAGAAAAGACCCAGAGACAATGGCCTCTCCAGCAGATCTAATGGATGTGGATCTAAGCACGAGGTCAGAGATAGACCTCAGGGAAGCAGTCATGAATAGTCAGGCTAGAGAAAAGTTAATGGAAACATAGATTCGTTAAGGACAGAGTGAAAGTGGACTTGACAGAACTTAAAAATGCTATCAGTGAGATGCAATCTAATCTAGATACTCTAACAGTTAGGGTAAATGAGGCAAAAGAATGAAATAATTTCTACCCCTCCTCCACCCCTTCTTGCACATGCTGGAGGTCTTAGCTTTTCTCTAGCCTTCAGCAGAGGGTAGGGGTGTTGGTTTGGCTCTTTCACAGGCAGGCAAATCTTAAATATAAATCTCTCACCACTAAAGCAGAAGCACAGAAAGACAGACAACGAGTTACTGAATCAGAGGGGCCAATTTCCTTCAGATCATGTAGACTTTCCTTTCAGTAATCACGTTTACTACTGTGATTAAGTCGTACACAAAATTTGAATTTTCCATCGAATAATGTGTTTGATTCACCTTAGACCGCCTCAGAGTGCTTTTTCTTCTTCCCCACATATGGCAGCAGGTTTTTCCTGTTTGGGACTGGAAGATCAGTAGAACAGATTTTTTTTTTTTCTTTTGTCTTTGTCAAGAAGTTGACGTAAACATAGTGGTATCTTATTGGTATAATTTTGCTTTCATACAAGAATCAGTCACTTAATTGTAGCAGTTAAACCACCTCTTCCTACAGAGGAGAGAACAGAGGTCCAGGGAATACGGCACCCAAACCCCAGGTGGAGTAGCATTCACGGAGAAGGTGAAGGCTGCGGGCACCCGGTCTCATCCAGGGTTGGTGTATCAACCCGCCTGAGGATCATGTGCCCCCACAGGAGCAGAGTACCAGCCGTGCAGTGCGTGAGGGTGCCGAGAAGTGAGCCCTACTGTTTCCTGTGCTTCTGCCCACGGAGTCTCCATTGCAAAGTAACAAGCAGTGAGTGGGACAGCAGCTTAAAAACTGGAATCAGGAGATGACTTCCAGTCTCCGTTTCAACCATTTTGTGGTAAATCTCCAGAGTTCTTCATCCTTGAAATGATTTGCAAAATATTTTATTCCCACATTCTTCCTTGGAGATGGCTCGGTTCTTCAATTGCCAGTCTGCCACGGCTCCGCGCAGTAAAAATAAATGTAAGCCACAGTTGGAGACACAGTCTCCCATCGTGGCATTAAAAAAAAATTAAAGAAGCAAGTAAAATTATAGAACTATTTTTATTTACTGAAAGATAGCCAAAAAAGTATTTCAACATGTAATTAATATAGAAATTATTAAGGTATTTATTGATAGTCTCCAGAATGTGATTTGTATCACACCCAAGCAGTCCATCTCAGCTCAGATAGAGGACTAGCTACATTTCAAATGCTCGGGAGCCACTTGGCTAGTGGCTACTGCATTGAACAGCACTGTTTCTGCTCCAAATGTTTCAGAAACGCTGCCCTGGAGAGCTCCCTGGGTCTGCAACAGCCTGTGTGCCAGGGGCTCCTTAGCCTCCAGGGCTCTGCTCAGTGGACCCACAGAGGAGGCATTAGGGAGAGTCAGGGTGCTGAGAGCTGACCCCAGGGCAACCCCAGGGACCCAGAGTCATTGGAATGTGCCAGGTCTTCAGCGCCCTGGGAGACAGAGACCATTTTGCTCAGGGACCTGGTCCCAGCACAGGGCTGTGGTATTCCCAGACAGCGCAGTAGTACACGCCCTCATCGCTTTTCTCCAGTTTCGGCACCGACAGAGTGCCGCTGTAGCTCTCCTTGCTCTTCTCGGCATTGACTTTGTCCGCTTTCATGGGAAAATCCCATTGCACAAGGGACCTGGACATGTCTAGGTAGAGGAGCCTCTTCGGTGCCGTACCCTCCTGGTGGCGGTACCAGTGGATGTAGCTGACCGAGCTGTCCACTTGGCAATCCAGAGGATGTGAACTGCCCACGCATGCCACCAACAAAGCTTGAGCCCTGCTCCACCGCCTGCCATGGGAGAGGGAATCAGCTGTGAGACAGTGATGGACAGGAACCTCAGGGTGTCCCCTGTCCTCTGCACTGAGGAACAAGTCAGGACTTAAAGGGAAACAGGAGAGCACACAGCATGGCAAGGGGACCCAGCATGGTTCTGTCTCCCACCTGGTGGAAAGAAACCCTGGGTGACCTCCTGGCTGCACCTGCTGGGAAGAGACTGCCTGGCTGTGTTGCAGAGGGCAGGTGAAGACGTGAGACTCTGTTTCCCAGAGGCACCTGCAGTTACTAGTGAGAAAGAGGCTGGGCGGAGAGAGGCAGGGGCCAGAGGGCTGGGACAGGTCTGACCACAAGGCAGGAGGGAACATCAAGGGTTAGGCTGCTGACAGACACTGAGGACTGTTGGTGCAAGGGGGGCACCAGTGATATAACAGCAATCCTTGACTGGACCTGAGCACCACACTAACTGGTTTCTGCTCATTGTTTGACCAAATCCTGAAAGTCACCCTTGACATGAATGCACCTGCCCTCAATTTAGAAATGGGGAAATCCTGGTTGTTATTTTAAGTAACTCTTCTGAGGCTGCATGCCTACAGGGAATTAGGTGGGGATGTGAGCCAGGTCTGGCTGGAGACAAATCTCAAGCCTCCGATGGCCACTCAGTACTGAACAGAGCGATGGGTGTGCAGACTGCTCTGGAGGCAGGGATAAGCACAGGGCAGAGATCCCTGCTGAAAAAGCAACAGGTCCCCTGAGCTAGCCCTGGAGCATTTCTCCCAGAGGTCTCCTCAGAAGATGGAATTGCCCTAACGTGACATGACAGCTCTGCAGGCTTCGGCTAGCTAGTCTTCTCCATTTCCTCATTTGTCAAAAGGACCTTATTCGGTTGTGTGTAGCATGAGCAGGGAATGTGAGCTAAGCTTGTTGCCTGTCCCAGATGCATAGAAAAAGCTCAAGAAATGTTGGGGATCGGTGTTTCATCTTCAAACTGGATTGGTTGCAGTAGATGATTTCTGGGGTCCTCATAGTGTAGAATTTCAGGAAATATGATAGTCCTGTAAAACCAGGGGTGTGTGTGTGTGTGTGTGTGTGTGTGTGTGTGTGTGTGTGTGGTCAAAGGAAGAAACCTTCATTGAGCCAGGCGGCAGAGGAGACCAGGGGGCAGGACAGGTCAGATCCAGTGTCAGATCCTTAGAAATGGTAAAGGCGGGGCCTCAGGAAGGGTCAGCTGAGAAAGGCATCAAGCATCTGAAATGAAGTTTCCAGAGGTAAAGGTAGTACAAGTTTCCTTGCTTGTTATCTAAAGTAGAGGAGGACCTCCTGGGTCTAGTTATGGTAATTAGCTCTGCTAATGAGAGCCTGTTGGCCTGGACTGAGAAGGCAGGAAGGGGACTTGGCTGGGGCAGGGAGGTTTGGGTCCTTCACACCCACTACCAGACCCAGCTCCTGAGCTCCTCCTCTGGGTAAACACTGAGAGGCACACGTGCTGAGCTCTAACCAAGATTCAAGGCTCAAGTGTCCCAAAATGGAGGCTTTGAGGTTGTGCTGAGCTGGTGAGGTGTTGACTAGAATATTCTGCTAAAAGAATAATCCAGGGCCATCATTCAGACCCTCAGCAGTTGTCTAGGGCAGCTGTGAATGTTAAGTAGGGAAGAGAGTGAGAATGGTGGTGACAATGGGGATTGACATCTGCACAGCTTAACAACAGGTGGAAAGAGTTTGCATACGGAAGATGAGCAGTGTGTGTGGGGAGGTGAGAAAGCCCATGAAATCTTCTCTTCCTGCTTTCTCTCTTTTCTAGATTTTCACCAATAAGGAAATCTTCCTTTGGGGGGGAAAATCCATAACCTTCTTTCATGAAAATAAATTTTATGGCACATTGTCAACATTCAGAACTCTGTTTCTGTCAATTACTGTTCCCATTTGTCTTCAAACACTGCTGACATTAAAGGCTCAACACCTGTTGGCTATGAGCAGTCTTAGTTCCTGCCAAACCTCCAGCCAAATGCTCTCCTGGGTGAGACAAATGACAAAAGTGAAACAATTCAACCTGGAGGGTGTGGTGCCCTTTCTTCAAAGGAGAACAATCCATGGTTGGGGAGCTCAGAGTCTCACAAGCAGGGGAGCACTCCACCCCAGGGATTTGGGGCAAGAGGGAGTTTTATAGAGACTTAAAAGCAGTAAAGGGGAAACAGGGAGGAACAGCAGGTCAGTCAGGGGATAAGGTGATAGTGCTTGGCTTAGGTTGATTGGCCGGGACTGCATACCTGACCTTACTTAGAGGAATCATTGCAGATTCTTGGTGTTTGGTGCCTGCTTAGTTGGGACATACTGTGTTTTTGGTCAAGGGCAGCATTTACAGGGACAGGGATGTTACCTAAGTTTCAGTTTTCTGACTCGGCACCCCAGGCAGGAATGGATCCATCCTGGGTCTGGAAACGCATTTCAACAGGTGATAATTGTGTTCTTCTACTTCTCTTCTCGCTGTGGTACATCTGTGCTCTTGTGTAAGTGGTGCTGAGAGGTCACATTGTTAAAAGATGTGCATATTTTAAAAAATAAGGGAAACCTTTGATCAAGACACAAAGGGTAGCCAAGACTTCGCCCCACACTCATGTAGACAGTGGAGGGTCCTGAGCAAGACCCAATGGTTTCCAGGAAGAGAGAAATCAGGTGGCTCTTGAGAGAGCAACACTTCCTGTCCCCCCGGTCATCCCGCTGCTGCCATGAATGAAACTGCTCTGATGCCCCCAGACCTCAGCTCCAGGGCAGAGACAGGGGGTCAGAGCAGGTGTGGACTCAGGCAGACCCTGTCAATGAGCCAGGTGCTGAAGCAGTGGAAGGTGCCGGGCACGGAGAGCCCTGGGAGACAGACCGTTTTGCTCAGGGACCTAGGCAGAGCATAAGACTGAGAGATTCCCAGGCAGTGCAGTCGTACACGCCCTCATCTCTTCTCCAGTTTCAGCCCTGACAGGGTACAGCTGTTGCTCTGTCCTCCACAGGCTCGACTTTGTTGGCTTTCAGGACTGCCACCTCCACATGCGTCCAGATTATATTCAGTCTGAGGAGCCACTGGGGTGCAGTGGATGTAGTTTTGACACTGGTTCCAGCTTTGCACCTCAGGGTAGCCAGCCGACTTGCTCATGCGGGGCACGAATACAGCCCCACAGCCAGCTGCTCCAGCTTGAGCCCTGCCCCGCTGCCTGCCAGAGGGAGAGAGGGACAATGGTGAGACAGGGGCAGCTGGGAGTCTCAGGGTGCCCCCCTCCCACTCCACCTGGGGAGGGAGTCAGGACTTACTGGGCAGCAGAATGGCACGCAGGACTGTAAGAGGACCCAGCATGATTTTGCTTCCCAGTTGATGGAGAGAAGCCAAGTCTGCACCTGCTGGGAGGAGACTGCCTGGGTGGTGGCAGAGGGAAGGTCAAGATCTGAGCCTCTGCTTCCCTGAGGCCCTGAAGCTGCTGGTGAGAGAGAGCCTGCAGGGAGGGAGGGAGGAGCCAGAGGCCTGGGACAGGTCTGACCACTAGGTGAGGGACCATCAATAGTCAGGGATCTGAAAAATACAGGAATGTTGGTGAAATAAAAGAGCACCAGCAGTGACAACAATCCTTGATTGGACACCGACTGCACTTGAGAACCTCACTAATTGGTTTCTGCTCTTTGTTTCTGAAAAGCACCACATGGTGTGAATACCTCCTGCTTAGAACTGGGGAAGGCCTGGGTGGTATTTTAAGTAACTCTTCCAAGGCCGCTACAGGGAATTAGGTGGGGATGTGAGCGAGGTCTGACTGGAGACAAATCTCAAGCCTCAGATGGCCACTCAGTACTGACAGCAATGGGGGTGCAGGCTGCTCGGGAGGCAGGGACAAGCACTCAGCCGATCCCTGCTGAAAAGGCAGCAGACCACCTGAGCTAGCTAGCCCTGGAGCAGTTCTCCCAGGGTTCTCATCAGAAAATGGAAATGCCCTCATGTAACATTATGGCTGTGATGAGGGAACAGAAGCCTGGCTGAGGACAAAGCAGAAGTGGACACCCTACAACCTTCCCCCACCTCTGCTCCTTGGTGGGACATATGTGACATTCTTTAGCAATCTTCCACCTATCTTAGTGTTAATACCTTGCTAGAGGGAAAAACCTTGGCAATGACAAGGCCTCCAGACCTCCAGTATCTGGTAGGTCATCTTTAGCATATGATAGTTCTTTTGAAACCTCCCTTTTTCCTTACCTCCCTCAACCCCATCTTACCTAACGTGCCACCCCTCCCAACCGTGGGGCAGCAGTTCTTTCTGCCCATGGGAACTGTCCCTGTGCTTTAATAAACCACTACTTTGCACCAAAGATGTCTCAGGAACTCTTTCTTGGTCATCAGCTCCATACCTCACTGAACCTCAGTTATATTCTAGAACTTCATCATTTGGTGCATGAACATGGGGCTCTGAGTCTTTACATGGGGACTCTGAGCTTCGGTGCCAAGTTGGTGAGTACTTTCTCTCCTCTTCTTTTAGTCTCATTTCAGGGGCTTTTCAAGGAGTTTGGTCTTATTGGAACACTTTCATGTCAATTGCCCAGGCTTAAACCTCTAGTTCATGGTACTCTATGGGGAGGAGAATCTTTGCCTTTTGGCTGGAAGTTAGTACCCTGGCTGGAATGGTAATAAGACCCAGAAACTTGATGCCCTCTCTCTATTCTTGTTCTTATATAAAGTTGTCTGTCTTGTGCATGAGACAGCCACCTAAGTCATCAGGATGGCTGCCAATCTTAAGACTCCCGTGTGAGGTTTCCTCCTGATTGATCTAATGTGATCCCCTCCACATTAGAAGTCTAGCCACTTCTGGCCATGGGACTCCACTGGGAGCTGGCTGAAACCAATACCCAATTGAATTAAAGCCCAACCGGGGATGTTTCCCAGGGAAGTTGGCTATAAAGGACCACACGTGTTGGAATGTCGCTTAGACAATGATGGATTTCAATTTTTACTATTTCTTGTCAGTGTCCTCTACCTACTTAAAGTTACAAAATTGGGTAATTTCCCCGTGCAAAACTTTTCTAGTATTTTCCATGGGTTAAAATGGCAAAACAGTATGCAACCTTCAGGACAGACA